TCCAAGGTAAAGGGTTAAAATGAAGCTTGGTTCAGACAAGTTCTAGAGTAAAAGTGGGAGAAAAACATTGGCTTTCTGGATTAATTGATTCTCTGCAGCTGAGCTGGCTGGCTCAGCCCATCCCACCCCTGCTATGCTATAAAACCCTGTACTCAGGGTAGGTAACTATGATCCTTCCTTTAACCAGAGGAAGTGGATTAGTTTCTTCCTTAACACCCCTCCTACAGTTTAATTTGGGGGAGAAAAGTGGAGAATGTGTATTAGACAATGCATTAAAAGCAAAATAGTAAAGTAGAAGATAAAAGCACAAAACTAGTCTGTGTTGAAACTCTTCCATCTAATTCACTTCCCATCCCATGTTCCTTAATATTGTTACTCTTTCTTCTGACATCACTGTCCAGTTTTGACACCTATGTTGCCCCTCTGTTGAGCAGTAGCAGTAGCCTTGCAGGTCAGCTTCCCAAGGGAGGAGAAATCAATTACATGGAATCTGGGGATAATCAAAGTGAAACTTGTTTTATTTATACTACATCCATTAGTCCTGGAACAGAGGTGGGTCTAACAGCATCCAGGCAATATTTTCTTTTAGCAACCTCAACCCAATGCCAGTGCCCAGGTCTCAGGGACAACTCTGCCTCAAGAAATAACTGTAATCAGACATCAAACCTGGGAGCAAACTCCCTTGAACAATCAAAATGTAAAGCAACACAGCTTGATTTTTCAAGAATAAACAGTTGCTTGCACACCAAGAAAAAGAACTTGGAAGATAATTTGTAACAGTGCCACCTGGTGACATCTGCCATAACAATAACATACATTATGCCTCTTCAGTCAGTTTGCGCGCGCTCTCTCTCTTTCATTTTCTGCATTACTGTTTCAGCCTCCAAGGAATCAGTTGACTTTCTTTTTTTTTTTAAGTAACCTGAAGTGCTAATTCTCATTTTTGGCTCAAAAAAATGTTACCAGCCCTTCATGGAGAAATCCTGCACACTTGAAAAACTGAACAGGTTAGTCTAGAATAGATGCCAGAGCTCTAAAACGTGTCGTCGGTGGTTTCCCCTCCACCCCACTCCATTAAAACTCTCTTTCTGTAAAGATTTATGCTAGGGAGCTCTACAGAGCAAGGTTCTGTATCTGATATAGGCATTTATTGAAGGAAAGAAATGATTCCGTGGTGCTGGAACAATTTTTATAGTGGTGCTGAAGACGGAAACCATGTATTTGGGTTGTTATTACTACTTCAAGCCAGGGGAGGGGGCAGGGGTGGCAGCCCCCCAGCAGCCTTACTTCCAGCACCTTTGAAATGATTGAGAGAATAAGTGTGGTTTTACACTGGTAACAGTGTGATACAGAAATGTGTATTTATACCAGTGTTTGCAGTGTTGTTGTAGCTGTGTTGGTCTCAGGCTATTAGAAAGACAAGGTGGGTGAGGTAATATCTTTTATTGGACCAGCTTCTGTCTGTGAAAGAGACACCGGCTTTCCAGCTATACAGCACTCTGACCTGAAGAGCAGCTCTGTGCAGCTCAAAAGTGTCTCTCTCACCAACAGAAGTTGGTGAAATAAAAGACATGACTTGCTCTCTCTCTCCATTTACACTATTTACATTTCTAAACAGATTTCAAAACAAGTTCATTGGGTGGGGAAACATTGTGGTATAAGTTACAAAATAGACTGTGTAGCGCAAGAGTTCTCAAACTTGTCTTCCTCTGACCCATAATATGCTCCTGAATTCTCGTACAGGTTTCCACAGTGCTTCCAAACAACATGGTGCACTTATAGACTAGCGAGCACTGCACAGAATTCATTATTTAATCCTCACCACAGCCTCTGGTGTGTTATTGCCATTTTGCACAGGAGGGGACAGACACATTAAGTTACTAGTTCAAGGCCACTCTGGAAGCCAGGGTCAGAGAGGGGATTAGGACTGAGAAGTGGCCGGGGGCTCTGTTCAATGTTTATGCTACCAAACCATATTCCTCTTGAAATAGATGGCAAGGAGCACTCTGCATGTGGATCTCCATTCTTCACCCTGGCATCACTGCTAGGATTGAAGGGAAAACTACTGCTGATATGGAGGTAGAACTCCATTTCTTCCATCTCCTGGCGGAGAGGAGTGTAGGTGAGATGATCCTAAAACCAGCAAGAACCACCAGGGTTAGGACCCCTATAGTGCTCCTGCCGGGGAACAGCCTCACAATTCCACTGAAATATACTGATGGCTCAGAGGGTAGGAAGCCTGGTGTCATATGGGAAGCTGCAGGTAATATATGAATACAGAGGATGCAGGATTCATAGCTGAAAAAAGTTGAAATGTCTGGCAAAGTTAGAAATTTTGCATCTGACATTAGCGCTTAAATAATATCTGTTAATTGGGTGTGGGCATTTACCCTATTATATAAAGACCCTTGCAAACATAATCATGGGAACTACAAATTGAGACAGATAACTGTTCCCTTTTATAGCATATGGTGACTCCTAAATATTTACATGCTGTTCAACTTATCCAAAAGGACCCAGGAAAGCATAAATCTCAGTTTCATGAAAAGCCAATCTGTACATTCTCTCTCTAGAACAAAAGCAAGGCATGAAGCGAAGGCTACAAGATTCCTGATTTAAAAAAGGAAAAGAAAACCTGTCTAATTCCTGAAGTTGCCCTTCAAATTAGAAGTAGACAATCAAAGCCAAAGGCCAAACCATTGCATCAGAAATCTTGAAACATGCTTTTGCCAAGGTCAAAAATGAAAGCATGGTGAAAACATTTTTAATATTAAGAAAGGAAGCCTGAAAAACCCAGACAGCACTTTCACTCCTGATGTGTGAGTCGTTTCAGCTTCCTCATTTGAGCAGAAAAATCAATAAGGAGCTTTTACAAGCCTACCGTAGAGACAGGATTGAACCAGCATTAGCGCTCACGTATTTGTCTTCAGGGAAATATGTGCCCTGCTATTTCTTTAAAACTCAGCAAAGCTTAGTTGAGGTTGCTTATTTTGCTAGGGCCAAATAGGAGCATGAGGTTTCATGGCGATAGATCATGTCTACAGAGAAACAGCCTGCAAGCAAGGGAGTATGTGAAACAGTTATTACAGTCCAGACGAACACAGAAGGTGAAAGTTAGTCTAGAGCTTTCCCTCCAATGGCTAGAAAGTAAAAAAAAATTGCAAAATGAACACAAAGGTTAATTTTTTTAGGCCTTTCCTCACTGGCTTTATACTCGACACCATTTCGGTTTCTCTGTCTGCAATGCAGTAACTTTTAAATGTCACATCTGATCAATTCCAAAATTACATGGAATGCTCTAGGTGTCAATAAGCCAAACTCTACTGATTTGGGGGACAATCAGAAAGCCAAAAGAGGGGAAACTGGGGACACACGGAGTTCCTGCAATCCATTTAGCAAAGCCACAGCTTCAAGCACATCCTTAATTGTCTGTAGATCAAAAGACTGATGGGAGACCCATATTAAGAAGGTGAGATTGTATGGGATGGAATGGAGATGAATAGGTATTGGGTGTATTCACTGCTGGCCCATCAGTGGGATGTGTTGGAGGATAGTCTCTGATCAAGTAGATGGCAATACTCATGCCTATAGTACGTTGTAATGTGAACATGTACAGAAGATCACGCAGTGTTGCAGGCATAAGACATACATATGTACAGCTGCCCCACCTTCATTCACCTGGAGCTTACGGTGTCCTCAGCCATATCTTATGATCATATGAAGCTCTGTAGACAATGTACAATGCAGACGTGTAATTTCAGTACTGGGCCATGCACAGTGATTTTAAAGAAGAGTGGTTGTTCCCCTCTCCCACCACCCACCTACCTCAATTGACTAAAAGTCCAATCCTGCTTCCATTGAAGTCAATAGCAAAACTCTTGGGGGCTACCAAACAAGTAGGGTCAAGCCCCAGGAGAATCCAGAGATCCCTGTTACTAGAGCACATTTCTAAGCAGCACTGGCTTGCCAAGAAAAATAGTCTCATTTAACTTTGCCTACTTTCCCCTTATCCTGTGCTAGATGATACTATTAATTTAGTAAACTCCCTGATAAAGAAACATGACTACAGCTGTGAAGGAGAGGACAAAATGCATTGTCTGTGTAAGGTACAAGTTGCAATACAGTTCTTAATAAATTGGCTTTGCTTCATAGCTCAAATCAGCTGTGAGTTTATCATACATACGGAAGCCTATCCTGCCTTGGCTGGGGAATAAGCACATCATATTTACTCATCTCTGTGTAAAACGTGCAACAAGAGCTTCAATTGTGAATGCAAAAAAGTTTATTAGCATAAAAAATACATGTCCAATAATCAACATTAAAACTGTCTCTCAGCATCATGTGTGCTCTCATTACAGATCCAGCATTTGTTTATCAGCTTTAGTTTATTGAGAAACCATACATTTTATGTAAACACATTCACAAGATGACATTTGCAGACACAGCATCTCAGGTATCACATTGCACACGTGAAGAGTTAAATAAGAGAACCAGTTACAGCACTATAAAAGTGGTCAGTGAAGCATTATACGTTTGATAAAATACTCTAGAAGAGGAAAATATAGTAGAAACTTTTGGAACAAGGGAGGTAAGTAAAAAAAACAGATTTTTTCAAAGTATAACTGAGGGGATTAATATAATTCTGAAGAATTTTCCTTAATGCTTGTATAATCCAACTAATCTAAAAAGTGTTATACATAATGATGTAATTATCTGGCTCCATGTAAGCTCTGGGTGGTTAAGTCTGTTTTAATAGTATTAAAAATTGTGATACACACACACACACACACACACACACACACACACACACA